TATTGGCAAGGCATATCACAACTTTTAATGAGTCACATCTAGTACCAAAGGCACACTTTAAAAGAAAGAAACCACATAATTAAATCAGGTTTAGTCTATTTAAACACATTGGACTGATTAGATACTTTGGTTTAATTTTCTGAGAAAAGATAGGAAGTTTTAAATTGTATTAGTTATTTACATTATGCTTTTTATTCATTTGTAAGTATAAATCAATTTGGGCTATGAAAAAGGAACTTAACATGTCTTTGTCCTTCAGCAAAATAAATGAATGCTTGCATCAGATAGAAAATGAGTGCATATATATGTGTATGTGCATTTTTAAAATATTTGGATTACTGAATCCTCAGATATTTAATGTTGTGTGCATATTTATATGTCCATTACATTCTCAAAGGGACCCTGGCCAGAATGAGATCCGGAAGCACACTTTAGTGACTACTTTATATTTCTTTCTTGCTACTTAATAAAATAAATTTTAATGAAGTATCAACGAGTTCTTGAAAAATATTTTATCTTTGTATATAAACATATGAAGTACTATCTCTAGCACTGTATTCATTAATCATCTTTAAATTTAAATGGTAAAAGATGAAGTAAAAATGGAACCACCATCTTAACACATGTATAAACTAGATATATAATCCACTAGAAATATCTTGATAAGCTATAAATCTGAATAAATTCTCAAGTTATATTTAATGGATTAAAATGCTACTAATGAAGTCTCAACAGAGTGTGGGTTCTGCAGATTTCGCAATGCAAAAATAATAAAAAATGGAGGAAATATTCTTCAGTATTCAAGCATTATTGCCTAATTAAGCGAAGTAGTCATTCACATCATGGACAAACAGCTGAAATTTTGGTATACACCTTTGTTATACGTATATCTTCCTTTGTAATGTAAATTAAAATATCAACCAACATTCACATTGGAGCTGCACTTAGAAAGCTCAGTTGTTAAATATTTTGGCAGCAAACTACTGCTTGCATATTTAAGAGTTGAATTCAGTGGCCTGGACACTGTGACAGAGAACAGGATTGCCAGTTCCACATTTATGTGGTCCAGTCTGTTCTGCTGTTACGGGATGACCTCCTAGCTTCAGCTGTTGGCTAACATGTCTCCGCTTGAACACACAGGAGATATATATACTTATGTAAAGATGATTTACGTATTTAAAAAGTTATCTCTTTCCCAGTTCTGTTGACTGTTACTGAGTTATGTTTTATTTATATGATTGTTGACTATCTTCTTTACTGAATTATCATTACTGTGTTTGCTATTGAGACATAAATTCCAATTAAATATTGTGTTTTTTCCCCTCCACATCATTGTTAGGATCTCTAGCTAGCTATGGATTATAAGAGTTGTGAAAATATTTATTTATTTATTTATTTTAATTTTAATTTTAATTTTAATTTTGATTTTTTTCTAAATAGGCTTCATGCCCAGCCTGAAGCCCAATGCAGGCTTTGAACTCATGACCTTGAGCTCAAGACCTGAGATGAGATCAAGAGTCCAATGCTTAACTGACTGAGCCACTCAGGCACTCCAAGTTGGGAAAATCTTAAAAACAACAACAAAAGCAACAACAACAACGACAACAACAAAAAACCCCACATACATACCAAAACTACAAATGCAAACACACACACACACACACACACACACTGAATGGTATTTGTAACTGTAACAATTACTGAAAAATTCATAATAGTCTAGAAACAAGTGAAACACAATCTGTAATATGTAGAAATCTGTGGTGAATATATTTCAATTGAGAATCGTTTGAAGTGGGACCAGTCAGAGAAAGTTGGCTGGGTGGAGAGTATGGTGGGGGAGACAGCGAGTGTCTAGCTAGCTGTGTGTTGGTAAAGTTAAGATGTTCTTGGTGGCAGCAGTGGGCATCTCTCTGGGAATGGTCAAATCCTGTGTAACCTGTATATTGGCTCCCCTCATTGGCCCTATATTCCAGGTTTGCTGTTGATTGCCTGAGTTTCCCTATGCCATTCTCACTTTTCTGTTTAGGCTAACTGGAATCAGAGCTTGTTTTTGGTTTGTTTTAGATTAATTGATAATGGCATTTTGATTTTTAAATAACTGATATCCTGTATCAGATGGGAGTTTTCTTTCCTGTTGGCCATGATTATTCAGTCATTCAAGATTTTATTCATTCTTATTTTTGTCATGCAAAAATTCACTTTTTAAAATCAACCAATGGGGTCTTTAATTAGATGTGAAGATGAGTTTGGATTCTCTATCTGTGAGAGATAAAATTCTAGTGGGTCTGTGGGCAATAAAATACCTTCAAAATATTTGGTTATTTAAAGAAGAGATTAATTGTTTTTAAAGAAGTACCAAAAATAATTATTTATATTATATTATTTTATATATTATATTATATTATATTATATTATATTATATTATATTATATTATATTTATTATATTATAAAAGAAAGGGTGGTCAGAATTTGTATGTTGACCACTACTAGGCATAAACAGGGTTAGTCATGCAATAAAGAGTTTTTCTAACCATTAGGGCAGCCTTCAATTTTTGTTTTTAGTATATTTTGACCATTTTATTTCCTTCTTTTAAAAGATAGATGGTTACACCTGGAAGTTATATCACACCGTGTGTTAACTAACTGAAATTTAAATAAAAACCTAAAAAAAAGATAAATGGCATTGGAAACCAAGCATTTGTTATAAACAAATATTTCCTGAGACAAGACACTTGAATACTATTATGTACAAAGTTTAAGGAGCATTTATACAACTTTAACAACTACATTAGAGTTAGGACTCTTTGTTAACTATGCTCAAGTAATTGATCTTTTTAACTAGTAAGTTGGGCATTTTATTTCAATTATTCATCTAATTTAAACAACCACGAGTCTTTCATAAGATAATTATTCATAATAGGAGCCTGATCAGCTGGCATCTCAGAATTTGCCAGTGTTAGTTGTGCACATTAACTCTATTCTTGTCTAATAAATAAGGGACAACACTTAAGACTCTTAGCAGAGAGAGTTTGAGGACCAGATGAGGTGCTGAGTTTCCATTTTCAGATCAGCAATTTATAAGTGGGGGGGGGGGAGGTATTGCAATGATCTAATCCTATTTAATATTAAACATATATCCTGCAAATAGTGAAAGAAAGTACTATACTTGTCAAAAATTCATAATTCAAAGCTAAGATTTCCATTTGGAGTTAAATTAAGCAATTATTTGATATGTGTTATTTCCAGGCATGAGGGTCAAATAAGAACACAGATGAGGGAGAAAGCCTGAACTGTGTAATGTAATACAGGGAGGACAATCCCAGGGGAGAAGAAATAACAGTTGTACTTTAGTTGTCCCAAGAATGGTAGTGAGTGCGGTCTACAGATAAATTTGTTTTAAAGGTTTTATTTAACCTAAGCCTTGATGGAATTAGAAAATAATTGACCCTTTAACACTTTATAGTACATATCATGGGTCAGTATTATTCTACGTGCTACATGTATAGTCATTTAATACACCAGTCCTATGAGGTTTGTCTTAGTAAAGAACTTGTTTGGAGGTTCTAGCAGAGGGGCAAAGCTTCTCATATACCCTTGACCCAAGAACCATCCTCTTCTATCTGGGAAGGTCATCCTCTCCCACTGAGCACACATTTTCTAGAAGGATGCACATGGAGCACTAAGGGAGGAAGGGGACATCTGCCTAGCCAGCCAGATCAGAGGAATCAACCCTGGCAATCAATGGGGTGGCAGATGTTGCAGCCACATCATCCTCACATCCCAGGTTGATCCTATTTGAATCACCAGTGGGCAAACGAAGAAATTAAGGTAACAAAAGATTAAGAAACTTTCCCAAGGACAGATAGCTTGGAACAGTTAGCCATGCAGACGGGATCCAGCACCAGCACTTTTCATTCCACATTTTATCCTCAGATCACCCACCCTGCCCACAGCCCTGCTAAGGTGGGTCTTACAAAGACATGTTCCTTAATCATAAGATGCTGCCTCACTTCTCTAGAGAGCAAATATTTTGTGCACATATTGAAATATTTTGTGCAAATGATCAAGCTGAGGCAGTAAGCTTAAGTTAAGAAATGCACTAAGAATAGGCTGGTTAAGTGGTAGAGATTAAAGCTCAACTGTCATAATCTGGAGAAGAATCTGAAGGGGCCATGATGGCCATGGCTGGAAAATAAAAATGGGCTCAGGAATCTGATGGACAGAGAAGGTTAAGAGAAGACAGTAGACCCATGGGAGAGCCAGTGACATCATGAAAGACAGAGAGAGAGAAGAGTTTATCCTATTCCAGCTAACTTGTACCATTATTATACAAGAGATAAGTTGAGAGTGTGCCTGTTTTTGTTTCTGTTTTATCATGGATTATATCATTTGGGAGTCATTGAGAATTCTCCAGGAGAAGAGTGAAATTATCAGGGGGATGATACAATACAATAAGTAAGACAGTAGAGGATATAATAGATTGAAATGGGAGAGACTAAGAACAAGATATTCATCATAAAAGCCTATGGCTATGGTTGAGGTAAAAGTATAATGTTATTAAGAATGGATCAGAAAATTATAAAAGAAAAACCTGAATTATTTCATATGTTAATTTATTTATTAAATCATTTATACATTTGTTTCTGTATTTCTTTGTCAACATATATTTACTACTATATCGGTTTCTAGGAACACAAAGATGAACAACTCAGTCCTTTCCCTCAATAAACTCATCATCTAGTGATGATGTGTATAATAGATTATTCATAGGACCAACATACCTAAACTAAGAAAATCTGGGAAACGTTTTAAAAGAAATGACATTGAATTAGAGGTTAAGGAATGGGATGGGAAGGTCTAAGATGTTGAAATTTGGTGGCTGTGAGTGTGGTGCTGATAGCAAGAAATATGGAGATAGGAGACTGATTCATCAAGAACTGCTTTCTAAGAATCTATGGGGAAATTGGTTGAGATGAGGGAAACAAATGACCTGGACCACTAATAATCTATCTTTAATTTGTCTTCTATTGCCCTATGAGACACCCAAGGAAAATGTATGCATAGATTTGGAGTCCTAGTTAATAAACATTATCAGGCTGAGATCAAAACACCTTTGGAAGACCTACATGAGCTATACAGGATCAGATGAAGGGCTCTATGTCATTGCTAAAGGTAAGCTTAAGTTCAAGCAGGTAAATGACCATTTTGGCCTCATATCTATTAATCTTATCCCCTAGTGAGAAAAAGCTAATTCAGTTGGCAGAAAAGCAAATGAGTGTGAGGACTGGAGCAAGAAGTCAGATAACTTTCTCCAACACCAAGAACCTCTTGTGCCAACCCTTCTCAGTCTAGGGAGCCTCTAAAGCAGGACCACAGCCCTGGCTGTCTGATCTCACCATTTAAGTTGGAAGAGAGCCCAAAGGGATTAAAGTGGGGACCAAAGAAAAGTATAATGTGATGTTTTTGATTCCTTGAGGAAAGACTGGTTAAATGGAAACCACGATTAATAAAGACTGAACCTTGTCTCAGCAGAAAATAACATTACCTATTTCCCTATGACAGTTCTTACCTCTCAAAAGTGCCTTACCTTTCTAGTATCAAAGAATGGTGTGCATCTCAAAAGCAATCATTTTTAAATGAGTTTGGAAAATGTTAACATAACTTTGCAATATCCCCTTTCTATGCACATTAACACAGAAAAACACTACAAAGTCCCAGAGGAAAGAAACTTAATAATTTATTTCCCCCAAATTATTTGATAATGAATCTTATTTATATAACCCATTAACATTGCAGAAAAGACTTTGGAAAATACTGCAGTAATGGAAGAGACTATAGACATTTGCCAGGACATTTCCCTATTCTAGAGAAACATATATTGTTTCTAAAGATATCCTGAATCTTCTAAGGATTATGTACTTTCCCAAATATGTATTTCATGCTCAATAAATCTGGGCTGAATAAATATTATTTTCTCTGTGATGGACATTTCTTTTTTTTTTTTTTTAATGCTTAATTATTTTTGAGAGTGAGAGAGACAGAGCATGAGCAGGGGAGGGGCAGAGAGAGACAGAGAGGGAGACACAGAATCTGAAGCAGGCTCCAGGTTCTGAGCTGTTAGCACAGAGCCTGACACAGGGCTCAAACTCATGAACTACAAGGTCATGACCTGAGCGGAAGTCAGAAACTCAACCGACTGAGCCACCCAGGCACCCCTGTGATGGACATTTCTTACAGTGCCACCATGATATAGTCACTGGCAGTCATGTGGTATTTCCCAAATTATACCACATAGGTAGCTACTCCATATGGTTAAAAATAAACTTAGTTCTCAGAATTTGAAAGAGGTCCCCACTGTTCTCAGAGCCACGATAACCTGTAAAGCAGTGATATTGGAGTTTGACTGCTTCACTCATGACTTTCATAGGGACAATGATAATTTGGTTTATTCACTATATCTAAATATAGATTAATTCTTTTAAATTTAGGAGTCATCCCGCATTGCCACCTTCCCTAATCACCACATTCCACATATACACACACGTACATGCACTCACTACTATATATTTGTATATTCGTTTAAGCATACATTATAATTTTAAAAAAAGATTAAAGATAAATTTAGTCTGAGGTATAGGTATAGTCATTATTTTGAATAATAAATGTAAAATCTAGTTTTTGGAAGTGGTTGATAGCAGAGAAGCACACATTTTGGAAGCAATACAGAGAATGATGATGAAAATGTAGTGAGTACATATTTTACTGTAGCTGTGATGTTAGTCTAGGTTTCCCAAAAAAGTAAGCTCCACAAACCAAAAGCACATTCAAATGGCTAATGTTAAAAGCAAATAAAAATAAAACAAGACATCACTGCTGGTAGTGAGTGATGCAAGAGGAAGACCAGGTAAAATTCTAGAGCTGGCTAATGACCAGCTGCTTCTGTTTCGTTGATAGTGTGCTTGGCTATAGTTGACAAAGGGGCACAGTGGCTATCCCAGGCTGTCAAAAAGGGTGGTAAAAAGGCATGGATAAAAGATTTCACAAGATGCAGATATTCTGAAGAATTAAAATAAAAATATTTTAATTTCAGGATCCTGATTATCCAAGATAAAATTTTTGAAATGAAATGAAAATGAAAATGTCACAAGTTTAGGGCATTATGGTGTTGTTTACTTAACAGATTGCTGAGTTTTCTATCTGTATTTTGATTTAAGATATCATGTCTGATACCTATAGTTTTGTTTTATGAATACTAAGCTGATTAAATTTTAATGTTTACTTATAGCCTCTAAAAACCATATGGGGAGTTATCTTTTTAAAGGTCATCCTTTGAATTTTTAAAGGTCTAAAAGTTTTAGTATTGCCTTAAGGCTTCTACACATTTGTCATCTAAATCTTGCCTGCATATCCATTCAGAATTTCCCTGCACATCCATTTGCAATTTACATATACATATACATGACACCAATTTGATTAATGATCTTCCCATTCTTACTCTGCAGCTTAATGGACAAAATAGGATGTTGACAAGGCTCTTGAGGTAAGCATGAGACATACTGATTACACTGTTTTAAGGCCAATGGAACATTTTCAGTCACAGAACTTTCTGGCATTCTAAATGTCTATTTTTAATGCTTATGTTTTCAAAGTGTTTCAACTCTGATGATGGTAAAATCATGGTAATTGCTGCAGTTGTTTTTGTTGACCCAGCCTCTGACATTAAATCTATGTACGCCCAACCTCTTAGAGGGAATGGGGTCTGAGCATTCTCAGAATGTGGTCTGAAGTTACTATTTGAAAAACCAAATAATGTGTAGTTAGATTGTTTCTTTTTCTCATTGCTAGATTTAATTTTATCAAGAAATCATATTCATTTTGATGGTTTTTGTCAATAATCCTGATTATAATGTAGTCTTGAAGAACTTTGTATCTGAATAGAGTTTTCAATAGTTTATTAGCTATCTTCCACAGAAACCTTATTAGGTCAGTATAATTATCTGCTATTATATGGTAAGCTTATTGGAAAATATTCTCTAAAGTAGCGTTATCCTCAAAGTGGCACTGTTATTTTAATATTCATTTTGATAGTAATAGCAGAATCTGTGTTTAATATTATGTCTTCAGGCATACTGTGCTTAATACATCTTATTGCCTGACACTTTTTTTTCATTTAATTGCCATAATAATGCAAATGGAAAACAATAATGACTAAAAGATAAATATATGACCTTCAACATTAAGTGTGAGTCCATAAAGAAAATTAGGAAAGAGAGGGTGTGAAAATATGGTCGATCTTGGAAAATTTTAGCTAGAAATTATTCACAGGCTGTTACTTAACTCATGTTGCCTCAAGTTACATGAAAAGCTAATAATTTTTTAAATCTATATTACATATATGTAATTAATATGAACTGATTAATAATATTATGAAAGACAAACTGACAACCTTTTTTTTCAATATATGAAATTTATTGTCAAATTGGTTTCCATACAACACCCAGTGCTCTTCCCAAAAGGTCTCTCCTCAATACCCATCACCCACCCTCCCCTCCCTCCCACCCCCCAAACTGACAACCTTTTTATTGTATGATTAATTTTCAAATTTTTCCTGCCCCTTGCCATTCTTACACAATCATCTAACTTGGGCAAGGGCTAGTTGGTTTGGTCTCCCATTTTTTGTTTTTTAGGTGTTATCCACTCTGAAAATGTATGTATGACATATATGTGATAACTTTTTTTTCATTATGATGAAGAATACCTATATTTATACACATATGCATTCATCCTAGATTTCAAAGGTATCCATTTTTACTTTATCCAAAGTCTAATACTATAATATCTACAAACATAGGTATCTACAAACATCTGTATGTGTCTGATCGTATGTAATATATAATTTGACCAACGTCTTTACTACTGCTAAACTAACTCAAGTAAATAAATCTGTTTCTGTCTATATAACTTCTCCCTATCAAACATTTGGAAAACCTATTTTCTTACCTGAAAGTAATTTCCAGTGTTCTCAGTAGAGAAAACTACATAAATCCACTCTTTTTGTCTACAAGTAATTATTTTTCTAATTTTCTAGGATGTACAATTTTTCATAACTGAACTTTTTTAAAATTACTGAACCTTTGCTGAGAATAGTTCAGGCCTGAATCCTTGGAAGACTCTCACCAAGAGGTATCATTGGGTAAGCACACATTTCTTGGACCACCTCTGGCCTAGAACTGACTGGGCCAGAAACCATCACAGGGGGAAGGAAAGAATGGTTATGTACTAAAAGTTTCATTAAAATTAAAATCTGGTAAAAAAAAAAAAAACCTCACAAAATTAAGTATTTCGTGGTCTTCATTGTAATTTAGAGTCATATCCTACTATTGTCATTTGTCTTCTACTTCAATATTTTTGCAATGTCTGAAGGAAAACTGTTTTGAACCAAATGATCTGGATGTTATTTTCCAGTGCTGTTGTGGGTGAGTAGACTGATAATTATCCGAGGTTACTGTATTTGATTTATAAATTGCAGGGAGAGTGCTTACACTGCTTTTCTCATATTGTTGTTTTGAGAATTCAGTAAGTTAATATACGTTAAAGTGTTCTAAACAAAGTATGAACTACGTAAAGTTATTATTTTAGTAACTTCTGAATTCAGCAGCAGTACCTATGTATAATGATATCAGCCAAGATAATTGCTGCCAAGTATGTAATATAATAGTGGGAAATAGGCATAGTTAATATAATAGAAATTTCATAAAAATACAAAAAGTATTACAATTCAGCTCATTATTAACAAATAGCAGATTTGTTGCCTCAAACAAGTAATGAAAGTAAGTATACATTTAAAGGATGTTGGATAAATGTAAATTGGTCAGCATATTGTGGGAGGAGTTTAGAAAAGAATAATCATTTGTATCTGATTTTGGAAATAAGAAAAAATAAACATAAATATGTGACATTATCTAAAATTAAAACTTGTTACATAATCAAAGTAGCAATTATAATTTTAAGTAGAAAAGCAGAGACTTGTTTCCCTTTTTCATCTAACCATTGCTATGCCTTATAAAATACTGGGATTCTTGAGCAACTATGTATTTGTGATAAATTAATACAAGGCAAGTGTTCTATTCTCCAAACTGTGATATTTAAAAAATTTTGATACAGAAAAATAATGAATTATTTTGCCTTTGTATAAATGCATACTCATAGCCATCATAAAATTTCACTAATATATTTCAGGTAATATGATAGAGCCTGCTTTCTCATAAAAAGTAACAACCTTGATAATATCCATACAGTTAACTAATCAATAGTTGGTAATTTATTTTAAATAAGCCTTATCACTAACTGTGTAACCCATAGTTTCATGAATGACTGTGTAAAATAAAGTATAAGTCATATTTCTTTTCCTCAATATGAAATTTGGATTTTAAGCATACCTAGATTTAGAAGAATTAATTCAAGACTTATGCTAACAATGGCACCATACATTCTTGGTTTGATGCTTATTCTCTGTTGTACACCCAAAAGCAAAGATAGATAAATAAAACATGAACACATCCAAAAGACATACCAGCCTCAAAAATAAGATAGGTATGTCTGTGAACCAGTAATAGAACCAGAAATGCAGAAGAGTTAGTCAGGTTAAAGTCACCGGGCTGAAGGGTCTGGATTTGGAAACCAACAGAAGTATTCATGGTTTGGCCCCTTTGGGATACTGGGTTTTAAAATATTTAAAAACATGAGACTTGCCTCATAACCAGGCATAGTGTTTAGGGGCAAGGTGGCTGGCAGTATTCTACTCATTAGTGGAGTAAATAAATATGTTTATTTATTTTGAGGGAGAGAGAGAGCAAGTGAGCATGAGTGGGGGCAGGGGAAGAGAGGAGGGAGAATCTTTTTTTTTTTTTTTAATATATGAAATTTATTGTCAAACTGGTTCCATACAACACCCAGTGCTCATCCCAACAGGTGCCCTCTTC